AAATGGAAGAACATGCGAAGTCATACCTTTAAAAGCAATAAAAAAATCAATGTAAATTCATTAAATGATTAATTTTTCAGTTTAATAATAGTGAAATCAAGTATAAAAATTTAAAACAAGGGTATTTTTAAAAGATTGCAAATATTGTTACAATGTATTTTCTTAAAAATTAGAATTTATTAGTCATCAATCAATCGCTGACAAAATTACGTAACATAATGGAATCACTCGACTAAAAAAGTAATAAAACCTAATTTATAGTGATCAAACAACTAATTTACATTTTCCTTTTTTTTCAAGCCTAATTGTAAGTATACTAAAAAAAAATAAAAATTTTCATTAATGGCATATACTTATCGTTAATTCCAAATATCTTAATATTTTTAATATATCCTAGAAAATTCGAAATTATCTATAGAAAGGGGCTCTAACTTAAAGTTTACCTTTTCCGGATGCATAATAAATTTTTAATTGCAACAAACTATTTGTGATGCAATTTTTGTCAAAGAAAAAGGTCTAAGATGCGAGAAGCAGTCTTAAATCTAAAATACCTATATGACCTATATAATACCTACAGTACCTGTAAATATTGTACATGTTTCAATTCGATATAATCAGTTGAAGGTTGTCGTAAATAATAAGCTTTTTAGATTCGTAAAGTAAAAAGTTCTACTAAATATGTAACTATATTATTAGCATTAATTTTTAAGAATAATTCATGAAATAATGCTACACAAATACTCCAAGGTTGTTGTCGAAAAGGACAAGTAATTCAATCGTGCATAAAAATTCAAAATTGGGTACTTTTTTAACAACGCTACTGGCAAAACAAAAGTAGGCCACAAAACCTTACAGGGTGATCACTATAGAATGTACTATACTGCAAAAGAAAAGACTATTCAAAATCTTTTATGTTTACGAATACTCTAAAGGAGTGTATTATATCAATAAAGTTTGACAGTATGTATGTATTTTCTCTTTGTCTTGAGGGAAAATGGTAAAAAATCAAATTACTATAAAATTTACTCCCTTTAAGGCATCATAACGAAGCTGAATCGTTGCACGCTGTACAAAAAATGGACTGGGAATGGAAAATGAAAGAACTTAGTCTCTGTGATGCAAAAAGCACTCCCACTATAGACGATCATCATGTGCCCATTGTGCATGTCAGTGATGATTTCGACCTTTTACCAGCTTAACGGATTGCTATTTCTATGAAATAAAGTTGCAAACGTTTTGTAAATTTTACTTTTTAATAAGTATGTTAAATGTTTTATAGTATCTCTAAATCTACAAATAATGTATGCAATTGGATAAGTAAATGTATATTTTTTGTATAACTGCTTCTTATTACAGTAGAAAGCCAAAATAGATAGGTGAAAAACTGAGATCAGTTTTAATCAATCGATTATTGAAAATTGCGCTAACAGTACACATACAAGGTAAATTACATGAAGTTGAATAAAATTGCAAGATTTAGTAATATAGTAACTTGATATTACAATCATATTTTTTGAATTCTGTTTTTTGAAAATGAGTAAAAAGGAAATTAAATTTAACTGTTTTATTGTTTCCTCTAAGAAACACTAGTATTTCCCTAATATTTGCAAAATAACAATAAAAACTGGAAAATTAGAAGTCAGTTCAAAAAAAAAATTTCGTAAAAACAACATCTATCCAAGGTAGAATTTGTCAAGAGGAGTTAGGTTGAGAAAAAGCAGTATTTAATAAATACAACAGAAATATCCTCGCTTTTGGATATAACATAGACTAACCTTTCGACGAGAGTGTCATATCGTGAAATTAACCTAACCTCTTTAATCGTTTAATTACTGAAAAAATCAATAAATATACATGAAATGATCGAATTAGCAGCTACGTATTTTGCTTGTGCAAAGAAATGAATCTCTGTTTCAATTACCTAGCGATGACACGTCCTGTAGTAAGGGTTAACAATTACAACAGGGTAACATATTTTTTTCTTAGTTTAAAGAATAAAGAAATGGAGCACCCTAACTTACAATTTTCGTAATTATTTTCGACAGTATTTAACAACTACCTAACAAGTAATATTGTCCCAAAATTGGGTGATTGGTGTTGATGCTTAAAATCTCCTTTAAAATCTGTACATTTTAAAGAACTAATTTGTTGGCAGTAAATATAAAATATTAATAATTTCTTCTTGAAGTGATTGAATTTCTTTGGAAAATACCGTATAAGTTTTCTGGATAATTAGAAATGTATGTTAGTATAGGATTGTGAAAAAGTATTCGTTAGTGTTAATTGCAATATGGTTGTATCATTCGCATGGTAAAATGCTTTTGTTCATTTTAGTAGTAAATAGAACAATTACTAAGTATTTTAATAATAAAGTTAATTGAATATTTTTGAACGCATGTAATACATTGGCTTTGGTAGAAGTTATCACATAGAAATTTGCATTTTGTTTTTTTTAATATTTAGAAGAGTTCTTTTAAAAGCAAAAGCCTAATGTTTGAACAATCCATGTATTTGCACTTTCCTTCTGTCTTCTTCTTCTAGAGTATTTAGAGTTTTGTTATTTTCGTCATATACACTTTCAGCTTATCGTTTAAAAAAAGTGACAGATCAACTAAACTGTGCTAAAAGTTTTCATTTAAGTCGCCGTGTTCGTTTGCTTTTCCATTTCGGTTACAACATTATCACAGTCGTATTAAAACGACAATAATTATTGTGTCTTAATAGAGATCGTCTAGCTCCGGTCACCACCAAAGGGTGTTACGCAGTTCACACCGTTCAGGTCCAAGTCAGACGGGTGCCGATAGAGGTAGCAATAACTCCTCCCCTCAACTGCAACGGTCTCACTCCCCCTCCCCTTCCGCTTCACCCTCAGCACCCCCTAGTCAAACCGAAACTGCCGTCTCTAGTAACCATGGTAGCTCTTCTTCCGCATCCACAACTAAATCCTCTTCGGACGATAAGGTAAAGGGTTGTATATTTGACGTTTGGGTTCTTTTTAATTGATTAGACGATTGAATTAAAGAATGGATTAGTAGGTAGGGGGGTAGAATGTAACACGTAGTGGTGTTGGTAATATCTAAATGGTTAGATTGTAGTTCCTACTATTTGGTATTGTTTTTTGTTGGAATTGAAACTGACAATTCGTAGAATAATTAATAATTATAGTAATTGTTAAATTAAAAAA